CTGGGTAACCTTTAATATATGTTTTGGAATGAGTCTGTGGGGTGAGGGTCGACATCTTTCCAGCACTGTGTTCTCTAACAATTGCTGTTTGACATTTCCTCACAGGTTCTCCTTTTCTTCCTAAGGCAAGCACTCTGATGAGCTCCAGATCAGAGGTGCTGCTCTGGGAGGGGTCTGCAGCCCCCCCATGGGTTCCCCAAATTGTGCATTTCTCCTGCTCGCCCATTGGGACAGCACTGCTGTTTTATGTGGCATTCTCCACATGACTCTTTTTGTTACAGAGTGGATTCAGAAGTGGCAGTGTTGTCCCTCAAAACACAGAACCCCACCATCCCACAGCTGGGGCTTTGGGATGCTCTGGCCCATCCTTCTTGCTTCTTCCACCTCCCTCTGCAGCACTCAGGCATCCTTCCCTGGGATTTCAGGCTTAATCCACCATTCATCACACCTTCACCTCAACTTTCCATGCTCTGTCCTGTGCAGGCTGCTCCCAAACCAGAGCAGGGATCTGGGGCACACAGTCTTGCAACAGGAAGGGATCTGCAGTGTAGCAAGGAGCTAACGAATGCTATAGCAATAAAAGCCCAAGCTCTTGACAGAAATGACTTACAGCACCAAGTTGTGCCCACAGCCTGAGAAATGAAGGGCACCTGCAGCCAGCTACATTGTCCCACATCCGGAGCAAAATGGGCATTTCTTTGACTTTTATTTCCACACTTAAGACAGCAATAAAGAAGAGAAGAGTGAATACAAGGCCTCCCCAAGAGGCTAAGCACAGCAATTCACTGCGCAGCCAAACTGGAGCTCAACACAACATGGCAGCTGCTGCCACAGCCAGCAATGCCAGCTCTGTGCACAAAGAGGCAGCAGCTCCTGCGGCTGCACAGCTGCCTCCATCTCCATCTCCATCCCACTCAGCATCTCGGGAGGTGGACAAGAAATTAGGCACATTTATTTCTCACTGTGACAGGCAATAAAACAACCTAACAAAGCCTGCATCTTCCTGGAACTCCCAGCCCCACTTCTCACATGTGAGCCTCTCCGCAGAGATGTTAAGAACTGATGACCTGTGCCCAGCCAGGATGCCAGTTCCCACCAGCCCTGCTGCCTTCAGCCATCTCTCACGAGGAGGGTTTTGGCAGCTGGGAGCAGCAGGAGGCTGCGGTTGCACCACATGCCCTCACCACAAGGCACGTGCCAGCATTCACCAAGCAGCGTGGCACTAACTGGGACCTCAGCACAAAGGAGGCTGGTGCTGTCACCACCTTGCCCTGGGTAATGAGGGCTTTATCTCCAGTTTGTCAACCCAGCACTTTGCCAGAGCAAGGACTCATGTTTATCAAACCCAGCCTGGCAGCAGGGAGGGGGAACATCTGGCACAGCCTCCCTCTTCCCATCAGACATGCGCTCACCATTTTTCATGGTTTCAACAGCTCTGCAGCTCCAGTCCTTATAATTACAATGAAAAACCTCACACTCAACCGCGGCACCTCGCAGCCAAGATACCAACGTGTTTCCAAATAAAAGCTTCATGGCAAAAATCCTACATTTTTGTGGAGTCCCTGCTTTATTCCCATCCTCCCTAGCACCATTGTATTCACATGGTCTTCAATTATTTACAAGCACACAAAACACTCCAGCCCACTTTCTCCACTGGTATGAATCAGTGAGGTGCCAAACTAAATCAACAGAGCTACAAAGATTTGCTGCGGAGAAGAATCTGGCCTGCTCTCTCTGAAGACTCTCCTTCCCTCCGCAGTACGCATGCAAAAGGAGAGGATAAAAACAGCTTTCTTCATTCCCCGAGTTTGCCAGCCACACGCCAGCATGCTAATGCCCACAGAGACCTGCTCCTCACTGCTGACCTACTTTCCATCCGTGTGCCTGCAACGTACTTCTTGTCTTCCCCAGCAGCCCTGCTGCTCAGAGCAGCCATCCCCACCGTGCCCAAAGCCCCACGGCAGCACCGGGTGCAACCTGCATGGTGCAGGTCCCTGGGTCCTATGGTAACATCCACTGGCTTCAGTAACAGAGGAGGCCCCCTGGTTACTCAGCCAGCCCTTGGAGTTGGTATGGCAGCATCTCCAGTCTGTTCCCTCAAGGCTTTCCTCTGTTGTTTTCATTTGACAGCAGTTGCAGGGAGGCCCAAAGAGGCAGCCCCCCTGGCTGGCAGACAGCACAGCCTCCTCCTGCCACAGCCCATCCTCTGCAGCTTCCCACCGCCCGCCACTTTGATTCACCTTGGCCAACAGAATCCCCACTGCACAGAACACAAATGCACTGCAATGGGTGTGGGGTGCTCCTCTAAAGCTGTAGGACAACCCTCAGTCAACCAGTGCCTTTTTAGGACTGATTAATCCCCACAGACATGCTGGCAATCTGAGCTTTCCACAAGAGCAGTACAAGTAACCTTTCAGAAACTTTCCAGGGCTTCATGATCACACCAAATGCTGAAACTGACTTTTGAAAGTCATTTTGTTATTTGCACCTTCACTTAGAATCCAAAAGTAAAGAAGTTCATGAAAACATAATATGAGTGTAAAGAACAGGTCTGTTCTCTGGAGAGCCTCTTCATACACAGGCTGGAGAACCACGTGTGAAACCCAGGGCTGCCGGGCCTCTCATTAAAAGACAGAGCTTCCACTTATGTCTGTTACCATCAGCAGTTCACAAACTGGGGCCACTCTGCTCAGCACCAGAAGGTTGGGGAAGTGCAAGAGAAAGATGACGAGCTGGGCTTCACTGCACCAAGCCAGCTTACTCATCCTCATGTACCACCCCAGCAAGGAGATGTCACAAGGCCTCCATCATGACTGGAATCACAATATCCATGATTCACATGAAAGACTTTTTTTATACAAAGCACCAAGATAAAAATAAAAGGATGGAGAAAATCTGAAGAAACTTGTTTCATTCCCCACAAGATGGATAAACCGAGATGAATGTAAACAGCTCAACTTGACCCAAATATTTTTTTCGTTGCTGAGTAACCCTGCAAAAATGTTGTTATCTTGGTAGCATCTCTGGAGATTAGGTGGAAGGGAATTTTAAACAAACATTCAACTGTCCGTTGTTTGAGGAATTTCAGCCTGGCCACAGGCTCTCCAGACTGCTGCTTTTCCAACACCCTTGACGCCTTTCAGAAGAGAACAAACAAGTTAAGGGAGCAGGAAGCATCCCTAACATTCCCAGCACATTAACATGCTGCTGACACGAAGGTTTACATGAAACATTTGGTTTTACAGCTTTCCAAATTCTTCTGCACCCTAAGAGAAAGATGGGATGGCTCTGCAGGAAATACACGCTCGGGCCATGGCTGCTGCAGGGGGTGGGAGGAGGGGTAGTCACAGCAGATGGCTCTGAGCCATTTTGGGTGGCAGTAGGCACCGCCGAGGGCTCAGACTTACAGCCCACACCGGTTGCCATATGGTGCAGCAGTGGCTCAGCATCACGCAGGACCCAATTTATAGCATCCTTGAGGGCTGTGAGTACCACGCTACCCTCTTACTGCTCTCCATTAGTACAATCACTTGTTTTCCAAGCATTTTCTAGCACCACACTACCATAATTATCGATTTCTTTCCTTCAGGTTTCTGCAGGTGGAAGGAGATCTGATAGATCAGATGAGAGAGTCAGGTTTTAGTCTCTTCATGCTCTGGAGGTCAGGCCTGTCACTCCTTCCTTCCCTCCCTCCCAGCAGATAGCACTATCTCAACCACACAGATGCCTTCAGAGATCTCCTTGGACCCTGTTAAGCTGTGCAGCACTTCTGCTGTGTGCATGTCCCAGAGCTGGAAACACACAGCAAGCAAGGCATGGCCTGTGACACAAGGAGCAGGTGGGGTGGGATGACCACAGCTCAGAGAACAGCAGCCCTTCCAGCAACCTCAGACCCAGCTGAAATTCTCCTGGAGTAACCAAGAGAAATGAGAGCAAGGAAGAAAGTCCTGGAGGGTGTGGGATGGACATGGCAGCATCACCGTGCGACCATATGCCTGTTACACTGCAGCCACAGCACAATCCCAGTGCTGTGGTGTGATGGCAGGGGATACTGCAGCCATAAGATAGAGCAGCGGGTCCAGTCAAGAGCAGGGCAAAGTGCAGGAAGTTCGGGGTAAGAGATAGGTCTGGCAGAATGATCTTTTGCAGCTCGGGTGCATTCAAAGGTGGATGTGTAGCTCTCAGCTGCTACAGCCATCCTCTCCTCTGCACGCAAATCCTGCTTCCTCTGGCTGCTGCACATCTTCCCCTCCATGCTCCTGCCCCACTGTGACCAGTTTGGACAGACAGAAGATCCCAATTCCCTCTGCTCTAGGAGTAGTAGGAACAAAGGTATCGCACAATGAATCCCTCCAAGCTGGGGTGGTTTGTCAGACTGCTCTGCTTCACTGAGACACAGAAAGAAGGGAGCATGTGGGTAAGGGATGCGGTCCGGCAGCAGTGTGACCCAACAGCCACCAGAGATGGGGAAACTGGAAACCTTCTCTTAAGCCAAGCAGGAAGGTCCTTCTGTGCTGGGACAGGGGAGGCTCTCAACTCCAACAGCGCACTTCGTGAAACTCTGCAGCTCAAAACATTGTCTCAGTCACACACAATTTCATGGGCTGGGCCTTTTGCCTTGAAAGAGCAACGCAGCTGCCTGAGGGTAGCTTGCATTCAGCTGCTGGAAGGAGCAGGTTGCCCCAAACCACTGATTTAACTTCCAGCTGGGCCCAGCTACCCAACTAAATGTAAAACGGTTAAGGCCATTTTCTCTTACAGGGTCCTTAAAATATCAGCTCAGTGCCAGCACTACAGCTCCTACCAGGGCTCTGAGTGAGGACAATCATCCACGTCTGTGCTAGGCAACTGCAGTTGCATTTCTTGGCTTTATGGAGAAACTGGAGTATTTTTAACATACTGAAAGAAACGGCCATTCAGCATCAGTTATTCAAACTCAGTACAGAGGCTGTGCTTGCTAACCAGTCCCATTGCACGTACAGCATCCATTAATGTCCTACCTCTCCTTCCACGGCAGCTTCTAGTCCTGGCCTGCTTTGCTTCCCAGCTCACAGCAGTTGTATTTTAATCCTTCAGTGATGCATCTCCTCAACATGCACAACAGCCACAGCCGGGGAGCTTCCTGGAGGAAGTAATTACAGAAATTGAGCTCACCCAAGCAATTGAGAAAGCTGGTATCTCAGAGTTCCAATTTTTCTCTCTGCTACGCTCAGGACCTGCATCAGACTGAAATGCACCACTGGCAACAGCCTTTGCTCTTCTCCAGTTGCTGCTTGAATCTTCACCAGTGCTGACAGCTCTACAGAGCTGATCCAGAAGCTCCAGTTCACCAAGGATCAACCAGTTCCATAATGAAGCTGTAATGGTTACACCAGTGTAGTGCTGAGCCTAGGAGCGTTTGACCCCACAGCAGTATTTCCAGCCCTGGGACACAGAGGCTTCTGTCTGATTGCAGCCTGCTAAAAGGCTTTGCTTCTCTTGCCTTACCTGGCAGCCAACACATCACAGCCAACTCCATAATCCCCCCAAGCAAAGCACGTCTCAGCAGTAACTTAATCTGAACTTGTACTTCAGCTCTCACAGCTAGCTCGAATGAAAATGAAAAGCAACTGATAAAGGAAAATCTACAAAGTGAAGTAGGTGGTGAGGGGACCAGAGGCAGAGCATGCAACTGGAAAGCGCAATGCCACAGCAGATCCAGCAGTGCAAACATTAATTGCTTTTTAATTATTCCAGTGCTTTTCTTCCGCAGTAGTTGGTAATTACAGGATTCCTGCCTGCCCTCCGGTGGCTAAGGAGGAGAGGAAAACCAAGAGTGTGTCAGCAGAGCAGGCCCAAGAACTGAGCCTTGTTTTACCCCTCGGTGGACAGCAGAAGCTTCAGAGTTTCCAGCTGATACAATTGCAGGATTTGTTTCTGGTTAGAGATCTGGGTAGGAAAGAGCACACCCTGTTTAGCCACAATTTTGGTTACATTTCCGAGTCTCTAAAGAACAGAATCACCTTCCTCCTGCCCTGCTGCCCACCACACCCCAGCTTCAGCCACTTCCAGCTCTTGGAAAAGGGCCAGCCTGCTTCTCAGCACATCATCTGCCATCAAAAACCCTTACAACAAAGGTGGTTGTGCACGCCTCTGGGCTGACTGGAAACATGGAGAAGAGCCCAGGTTGGGCAAGTACAGCCTGATGAGCATGGCAGCTCTGATGCTGGGTGTCTGGATGCACAGCCACCACCAGGTACCACTCACCAGTGCTGACAGTACTCTCATGCCCCCCAGCCTTTCCTTGCAATAGCTTGGAGCCAGCACTAGGCAGCAGGTGAAACACTCAGACCTTCTGCAGATCTCCTACATGGAAATCTCACCTAGAACTGTGTGAGAACTGACAGATGCATGTTGTGAACAGGCAGACAAGTTGTTGAGAAAGACCTGTGCTTAACTTTCTGGTTCAGATATCTTCTCTTCCATCCACTCCAGATTCTACTCAGACACTTTAGAAACAAATATTCAAAGATATCGTGATCAAAGTGAGAAGAGGAGGAGGGCAAGAGCACCAGAGTTCCATTAATGGGAAATCAGAATTCAGCTAAATTCCTTACATAAGGCAAAGTTGAGATAAAAGCTCTGCAAAGAAAACAACATGGGGTCACAACAGTATCAACTTCCTAAACACCTGTAAGGAGAAAACACGTCCATGGTTTCCATAGAAGAAAGGGCACTAATTCAGCAGTTTTCTTCTGATAGGTTGATGGGAATTTGAAGCAGCCTCCCCATAACTCCAGTTATTTCCAGATGTTAAGGGTCCCAGAACAGCTTCTGCTCTTTCCCAGCCCAAATACAAGCACTCAGACACCTGCCTGGGGAGCAGCCTGCTCTCAGTATAGCAGAACACCCTGTAACAGGAAGGGAGTAGGACAAGTAGCCAGCAGACCTGAGCACGGTTTGCTGTACAAGGAGAGGCAGCTTCCATCTGCACAGCAATCCCACTGGGGCAGCTCAATGCTAGCACGGACATGTTAGCAGCCCTAAGATTTCAGACTCAATTACTGAGAATGCAAAAGAGGTCTAACAACTGAGACACCAGAGCCTCCTTAGGTGCTCGTAACCCAAAGACCATAAAGAACATCTTTCCTCATCTCTGTTGCTCAGGAAGCTCTAAAAAAGAAACAGCCACTAAGGAGCTTGTGACAGTCATTGTGTCCACCAGCAAGTCAGAGCAGCTCAGTTCACACACTACAGCATGATGTGCCTTTTTCAGGATGGGGTAACCTCCCTCCTCTCATTTTCCCTAAGGCAGGAGGCAACTGGCCGAAGCATCAAACCGCCCTGGCCTCAAGCCCCTAGCTTGAGGTGTGAGGAGAGTTTCCTCTGCCCCAGCTTTGGAGTCTGCATGCTGCACTACTAGCCAGGTGCTGACCCTAAGGTACCCCACTGAAGATGCTAAACACTGGTGATCCCAAAGCAGCCACAGGAGCCCAATAAGCAAACAGTCTTAGCCAAGTCTTCTCCAGTTGGGCAGGAACTGGTGCTGATTCCATAAGGCTATTTTTGCTGGCATCGTTGTTACAGTGCCAGAAAGCAGCTCATGTGTTCAGTGGGAGCTCACAGGACAGAGATTATGGAAATTGCATCTCATCTTGTCTTCCCACCCAAGCCCCTTAATGGGAGAAAAAAAAGCATCAGCCTTTCTAATATAGGAGAAAATAACTTGTGCTACAGGAGCAGAGAGAAGCTCATCATCCACTTGGTCAACAGCCAACGGCTGCTGAACAGAGGTGGGGAGATTTGGAAGTGTACACTGTTGGTGCCCACAAGGAGATAGCCAGGCATGTTGTGAGCAAGAGGGGACTGAAACCTAGGCTTCCACATGGACCAAACCTTCCCATGGAAGAGCAAAAGGCAAGTCCCCTGAAGCAGTACTTTATCCATGACCACTGTGCTATCTGGCCACTAGGGTGTGACAAAACCATATCAAGGGTACACAGATAACCACACCATTGCCATTTTGGTGCTAAGAAGCAACGAGCAGTTTGGGAAACCAGGAGTGAGAAAGGCTTCAGTGGCAATGGTCAACACATACCCCGTGTATCTGCAGACAAGAAGCTCATGTTCCTTTGCACGCTGCTCTGATCCCCGAGGACCCAATTCCAAGCCCTCCAAAAAAATCAATGAGATAACAAGGAGGTGAGTTGCAGCCAATATGGATTTGTCAAGAGCAAATCACATCAAGCCAATCTACCTTCCTCCTATATCAGGGTAACAGGCTTTCGGCACAGACAGCACTACCTGTCAAACATCTCAGCTTCAGAAAGGCTTTTGACACTGTCCTGCCTGCTGTTCCCATAAGCTAGGGAAATATGGTCTTAAGAGAAACTGTGACAGGACAGGTATAAAACTGCTCAGATAACCACATGAAGAGGGCAGACATCAGCAGCCTCCTCTGCCACAAAAGAAGGACTTGCTGATTTAAGGATTTTGCAGGGGTCTGTCATATCCCTGCTCTGTTGAAGGCTTTTGCTACTGACCTGGATGATGGAGCAGAAACCAAACTTATTAAATGTGCAAGTGACATGAAGGTGGGAAGAAGATCAGGTACTTTCAGAAGACAGGATTAGACTGATGAGATTTTGGTAGCTTGAGACAGCCTGAACTTCACCTTCTCTTCAGGCAGATACAGGGGCCGTGATTTTTTTTTCTCAGGCAAGAATTATCAGCCTGTCTAAGAACAAGAAAACAAGTTTTCAGGGACTACTGCTTCACTAGTCTTGCATAGCAGAAGCTATTGATGCTGCAAGGGGTCTGGCACCTCTTGTTCTTGACCCCATGACAGCAGTGCCTGAGGTCCACACAAAACTGGCAGCACATTGCATTAGGCTGGCAAGTATGCAGGGCATCCCTTCCCAAGCTGCCTGCAAACAGAATCAATATCAAGCTCAAAGGGCACTGAGAAGGATCAGAAAACATGAATTCCCAAACCAGACTGCTCTTTATCTACTGCATCACTGTCACCTTGCTGTAACTGGCATATTCACCATCCCCTCCGAGAACAGCAGGGAAGGTGTTCCTACACCAGCAGCACATCATGCTAATGATGACAGCTGAGCACATACTAGAGCTGACCGCTGTGCACGCCACACATGTTTCATAATGTTGTCCCAACTGCCTGAAGGCCTTTCCATCACCAGCTGCACCTGATTCTGCTGTCAGGTGCTCTTCCTCTCTCCTGCTTGCCATCTTAACCTACAATCACTGCAAGACCAAGCTTGCCACTGGAAGCAATCAAAGCACAAATCCCTTGAAAAATAATGACCCAGACATGGCACTTTCTGGAAAGCCAAGCCCCTGCAATGTGCTATACTTCTAGCCTTAGGGGAAGAGACACTTGCATCCATTGTAACCTCTGGGCTTTCCTCTCTGACCTTCAAACCTGCATTTGGTTATCTTGGCACAAGCTGCTTAGGAAGAAGACCTTGCAGCCCTGGGAACCCTGACGTTCCAGGTAAGTCCACTGCCTGAGTAAGAAAGCAGAGCTTCCATATAAGTGACATTTATTTTCCCCAAAAGAGTTACTTTTGGCAGCCAATTGCATAGAAGATTGTAAAGTAGCAGTGGATTGATCTGGCTCCTATAGAGGTGACTAATGGGAACATGATCCAACAGCTAAGGCAGAGGAATAGATAGCAGTGCCCCCCACAGCTGCTTTTGTAGAATGGCACTTCCCTCACCTGTAATGAGGGATTCCTTCACCACACTCCTTGTCTATACATCTCCTGGGGGTACAATACTTGTTTGCCACATGCTCCAAGAACCCTGAATGGAAAGCAGATGCTTGAAAGGAAAGCAGGACAGGCAGGATGTGGAAGGAGTCAGTGTTGCACTTCAGGTTCAGAAGCATCCAGTCAGCAGGCAAAACCCTTTTCACTGCTGTGGACATGAGCAATGGGTATTGACAAGGCAGATTACACAGAACATCACCCAGACCACGGGCTCTTAGTACCCTGTGGAGCATGATTGAATGCTGTCTTATTCCATGATAAAGTCAGGAATAAAGTATTGAAGCAGAAATCAGTGTGAGCTGGGGTCATTCCAGGGCAGCTCTCTTCATTGCGAAGGGCACAACGATCT